GAGAAGAACTACTCTTTATGAGCAGCAAGGTGAGTATGTGAACTTCTGAAATGAAACAAGATAGTCTTCTGATGTTTTGGTTTACTCACTTGTTCTGTATGACATGGTTCTAGTTATAACTTCAATAGATATTTATGTTGCCTTCATTTTTTGGTGCAGGCCATATGGAAGCCACCTAAGGCCATCAGAGGGGGACTACCAGTCTTCTTTCCTCAGGTTAGGGATGAAGTTTGCAAAGTGTTATAGTTCTTGTCTTGCTCCATTTGCTTAGGGTAGGGGAATCCATATTTTGCTTACCCATTACAACTTGATACAGTTTGGAAATCTTGGTACTTCGGAGAGAAATGGATTTGCTAGGAATAGATTCTGGACGATAGACAGTGATCCTTCACCTTTGCCTCCATCAAACAACCATTCATCGGTCGATCTTTTGTTGAAGTCCACAGATGAGGACCTGAAGATCTGGCCTCGGAGGTATGCTTGCTTTCATAATCTAAAAATTAATCCAATAAGCAAACAAGTAAATATCATGTGTTATGTTCTGAACTACCAACATCTCCTTTTACTTGATGAGCAGCTTTGAGTTGCGGCTTCGTGTCTCCCTTAGTGCTGGGAAGCTCACTTTGATACCTCGCGTGAGAAACACAGATACCAAACCTTTCTCTTTCACATTTGCTCTCCGAAACTATTTATCTGTATCAGATATCAGGTATGCACAGTAAAATCTTATGATGAAAGTTGTGGTCCTTACAATATCATGAACTTGGACTGTCTAAATTACATTCTGGGCTTTGTTTTATTGCAGTGAAGTGCGTGTTGAAGGCTTGGAGACACTTGACTACTTAGACAATCTTATGAGGCGAGAGAGGTTTACTGAACAGGCAGATGCAATCACTTTTGATGGCGAGGTGAGATCTCCATTGATTCTTCAAGCTTGCTACAAGTATCAACCAAATGCTTTTGAAATTATAATAGGAGAATGGTGGTGTTCTTTCCTGCAGGTTGACAGAATATATTTGAGCTCTCCACAGAAGATCGCTATAATAGACCACGAGAAGAAGAGAACTTTTGTGCTGCGCAAGGATGGGATGCCTGATGCAGGTAACTTTGAAACGTCTTTTCATTTTGGGGGGATTTGAGATCCTAATGTTGAGGCATTGTTTTTCAACAATCAGGTATGTGGAATCCTTGGGATAAAAGGGCCAAAACAGTGCCTGATTTGGGATACGAGGACTACAAAACCATGTTGTGTGTGGATTCTGCTGTCACTGAAACCCCAATCGTCCTAAAACCTTTGGAAGAATGGAAAGGCTACCAGGAGCTCTCTACTGTTTCATCAAGTTATTGCAGTGGGCAATTAGATCCTCGAAAGGTTCTTTACGGTTTCTGATGAACTTGATCAGTTCACGTAGTGTGGATAAGTAAGATTATTGACTCAACAACCTTTCTCCCAATAAGTTATAAATACTACTAGTAGAAAAGCTATAAAATTTAGGGATTTGGTCTTGCAGTGAGTCAATTCCACATTGCTGAGCAACAAGATATTTGTATGTTGCCTCTTTGTGATGATATGATATTATCAATATTTCTGAGATGTAATTAGAAACAGCGAGTTTCGTGATCTGATTTGCAGTTGATTCTTATCACACTTGTCATTGCAATTTCTAAAGATCAAGGTACACTTGGTGACATAAAATGAAGCAGGGAAGTTGATTGATTGTTACACACTGGAATTCATCATGCCCTTGTGTTATTGAGCAGCTAGCAACACCAGCTTCTTATTACTGATTATGTGTCTCGATACGAGTTTGATGGGGGTTTCTAGGTTTTTTAGAACATAGAAAGCAATTGCATCCCAAATTTCTCCTTGGCTTCCTTGTCTAATGGATCATCTCCCAAATACATGTTAACATAGGCCCTGCATAGAAGCTCGCTGTCAACTTTGCTGATGACCTCATCCACCACTGCACACATCAAAGACAAAATTGTTCAGTGCTTCCAGTCTATTTTTTTCCAGAATCCATTGCATTTGTGTTATGCTATAAGTAAGACTCCACCTTTGGTTTGGAGTACATTCCCTGGAAGCCGGGAGATCTCGATCACAGAGCCACTCGACAGCTTGATTCCATCAGAAGCAGCACCCATCACCCTGCAATCAATCATCATCAATTGGTGTAATGAATTTTCCAATTTTGCAGACTGAAACTAACATTGCTGAAGTGCTAATGGTCCTACTTGTTGGCGAGATCATCGTTCTTCTTCCCTCCAGTGAGCTTCTTGATAGATGCTCCGAGACCTTCATCAAAGTTCTTCTTGACCATGTTCATGGTCAGCGAAGAGAACACAATCACCAGCCTCACTGTCATGGCTGAATCACTGTCGATCACCGCCTGGTACATTTCCTTGGTTGGTTTAGTGGATGCCTTGCTGTCAATCTTTGTCTTCAGATTCTCTTTCAGCTTCTCCTTATCATAATACATCCCTGCAAATTAGAAGAGATGGCAACTTTTGGTCATCATAACAAGAACAGTTCCTGGGTTCTGATAATATAGAGACATGAATGATTATTACCAAAGCCGTAGATCTTGATCCCCATGCCAAGCATGGATTTCTTCCTCAAACCAACGGTCATCAGTTCCTTCCCATCAGCCAGCTTGACCGGGAATGAAATCCCAGTTTTCGGCTCAACTTCAACTGCAACTTCTTCTTCTTCTGCTGCTGCTGCTGCTGCAACTTCCTCTTGTTTCTTGGCCTGATCAAGAGTCTCGGCTGCCACCTTTGTTTCATCCTTGAGTTTCATCCCATTGAGCTTCTCCTCCAATGGAGGAGTTGTGTGCTGATTATCAGCATTGACATTGTTCTCAGCAATGGCTGCCATTTCTTGTGCTACTTAACTAGCTAGCCTTGTGGGAAGATATTGAGAGAGGTAGAGTTGAGCTGTAGAAATATGTTGCTTTACTTGGTGATGGAATAGGAAATGGCTATTGGTTTATATAGGGATATATGGGTAGTGAATGACCAAAAGGAAGCATTCAAAGCCTTGCCACCAACAGATTGTTCCTGCCTTGGTAGTCGGTGCAAGTTCTTTTCTTTGGTTTAAGTCCATTAGTTATTTTGGGGTCTTAAGACTCCTAGAGTAACGTGATCAACTCAAAATGTGATCTTTTTTCCAGATCTACTTTCTGGAGATGCTATAATCTCAAGCAGCATAGAGGCTAAATCGTGCCAAACCCACCATGTTCTCCTTTTAGAAGGATTAATAGATAGATTGCCCCATCAAGCTCTGTTTATAAAGTACCATTGCTGCCATTGGGCCACCCCTACTCCTTAATCTTAAATGCTTAAGTACTAACTGGATCTCGTTTGAAACAGAGGACAAAATCAGGCATAAACTAAACTACATAAAAAACGCATTAGACATATTTTTCTATTTGTGAGCAGCGAGGAATTAGTGACCATTAATCATTGTTTGCTCAATAAATGAATGTCACGCATATCAAGGAGTGTTTAAGCCTTATGGAACGCTAGCTTGAATTGAGTTGTCCAAAGTGGTGAAATCGATTAACTTCAAGTGAAGGACAGAGAAGGACTTTGAATTGCTCAATCTTCTGTAGGTTGGAGTTATTCCTTTTCCTGGATGGACACAAGACCAATTAATGCAACACACAATTTGGTTTTTACACGTATGTGAATGTACATGTATATTTGGTATTTGTAGGTATGCTTACATGCATACATTTTTTTTAAATTGCATTTGATCAATGCAACTTGCAATTTGGTCATAATAGGATAAATGACTTACGGTATAGTTGAGCAAAACTATGGAAAGTATGACTAGACGTCTTTGAATATCAACATTCATATCATATTATTGTGTATTTACTTTCAAGACTCATATAAACAATTGAAGTGATCAACAATAAATATATGAGGCTATATGGCCTAGATATCGCGTCCATCTCACCAAAAATTGGATTCCTCAGTAATCCATAATGCGTATTGGTTTGCGATTATAGTCGACATTTCATCACTTCTATATCTCTTTCAACATCCTTGTACTTATAAGACATTTAATTTAAAAATTAAGGTTTAAGAGAGAAATTTTACAATGCTGTATAGTATTGGTGCTATAGGTTTTTGCATTTATGGTACAACTTAAAATTGTACATTTACGTTATGGTACAACTTCAAATTGTACTTATACTTTTTGTACAAATTTTTTTATGATACAACTTGAACTTGTACATTTATGTGATGGTACAACTTCAAGTTGTAAAGTTGTACCATAACATAATGGTACAAATTGCTTTATGGTACAACCTAAACTTATACATTTAATGTTATGTTACAACTTTGAGTTGTACATTAAACCACCAATGCTATATAGCATAGTAGAAGTGCTCGGTTTAAGAATGAAACTTAAAGTTTGAAGAATTATATATCAAGGATAACCTTAATCAGAAGCAAAATCAAGAGACAATGGAGCTCGTTAATGAAATAACACAAATTTACATCTCCCACTACCAAATAGGAGCTATAAAAGTAGACGTTGTTCTCAAATTTTTGGTTTATTATTGTTAGAGTGTGATATAAGATCCAGCAAAACCTTCTTCCAACAACTCGAGTTATTGGGATCAACTGGTTATTGACTTGGTAGAGTGTGATATAAGGTCCACCAGAACCTTCTCTCAACAACTCGAGTTATTGGGATCAACCGGTTCTTGACATGGTATTAGAGTTGGTTTGGCCAAGTGGTCGTGTGTTCGAATCTCCGCGACCCTCAATATTAACCTTTGATTAAAGCACAAAGTATTGTGAGTCTGTGCAAACTTCAAACCCATGAGTTGGCTTTGGTTTGAGAGGGCGTGTTAGAGTGTGATATAAGAATGAATTAACTTGTCACAAAAAAGTGGTGTGTATTGAGTATTGACCCATGGGCTTGGTTGGATGTTCATTTACCTCTTAGGCTCTTCGGTCGTGCTTTAGAAGAAGGCGGGAGAAGCCCATATCGGCTGAAAGGCCCATAGCAAGTCCAGTTCTCTGTCTCATCATCCTTCCCTTGCCTTCTCAGCTCTCGCCTTTACTTTACAGGGAAGAGACGAAGAGTTAAGTCGCAGACTTGCAGTAGCGGAACAGAGAGGGTTTTAGAAATTTGCACGAGAGCGCTATGCCGGAAGCTAAGAGCAGAAAGCGCAAGAGAGGAAAGAAGAGTGGCAGCAAGCCGCAAATTCAGCAACAGAAGGAGATTAAGTCGAACGATGTGACAAAGGCCAAACATGGTAGTCAAAGTAACGAACTTGCTGCGGCTTCGAAGCGGCCAAAGTCGTCGTCTTCTTCTTCTTTCCTTGATAAGGTACATGCCTCTCTTCCCTCCTTGTTCTTCTTCTCTCAGCAAATGGTTCGTAGAAATCAATTGATGGATCGCTGATGAACTTTGTATTGAATAATTGCAGATGAAAGCCAGATTAGCTGGTGGGCATTTCAGAATGCTGAATGAAACACTCTACACTTGCACGTAAGTGTCCCCTTTTCCTTATTCTGGGTTTTACTCTCTCCCCTCTTCTCAATTCTCATTGATGGGTATTTGGCTTTATGTGAACTGAGCAGTGAATGGTGGCACAGTCTTGGTTTTAATCTGTTAAATCTACTTAGTTATTCTCCTGGTAGTGCTGTTTGTGCTTTTGCACCTGTTAGTTAGAGCAGGAGAGTTATTCAATCGATTTTTTGGTGTTTAATGTTGTTCTCCCTTGTCTCTTTTCAGTGGAGGGGAGGCATTTAACTATTTCACAGAAGATCCATCGTTATTTAACATGGTAAGGCTTCCTTAACGTCTATCTTATTCTTCTCTTTCTCCTATACCTTGGAGATTCATTTCATTTATACTGGCCCTGAACTCGTATAAAGCTGACTATGCAAGTCATAGAGCTTTCACAATTGGCATTGCATGAAAGTAAAGGGACTTAGGTCCAATTTGATGCATGCTTGTTTTTGGATGTTCCAGTTCATTGAGTTGGCCTCATCTTACTCGCAGCTGAAAATCCTGTCAAGAATTCAAACCTCACGTTTGTTCCTTCAAAGTTGACAATTTTGAAATGATATTGTGAGTTTCAAAAAATTGTGGTTTAACATTATCTTACTTACTTGGCAGTATCATACAGGGTATCAAGAACAAATGTCACACTGGCCTGAGCAACCTGTAAATGTAATCATAAAGTGGCTAAAAGATCATAACCGTTCGTTTATTGTTGCCGATTTTGGCTGTGGTGAGGCCTTGCGAGCTCCATCATTTCTTACTCTTGCTAGTTTCTGATGGGATTGTGTCAGGTGGATGGTATAAATGTTTTGATTGTTTGTTCTCTTTCCTCTTGCATAATTGTTTCAGGAGATGCACGCCTAGCGAAGAATGTAAAGAATAAGGTGTTCTCTTTTGATCTCATTTCGAAGGATCCTTCAGTAATTGCTTGTGATATGTCAAAAGTATGATACTCACTGTCAATTATTTCTGTATCTTGATTCATACAATGCATAAGCTTTTCTTGATAAAGTCTCTGTATCTGAGTTCTGTTACTTCCTTGCAGACACCCCTTGATTCTTCAACTGTAGATGTAGCTGTGTTTTGCCTTTCACTGATGGGCACTGATTATCCAAGTTACCTCAACGAAGCACAACGGGTGCTTAAGCCAGGGTTCGTGTTCCTTGCTGCATTTTCAGCATTCTAGATTGTGTTCATTGTGTGTCCAACTCGTATTTTATTCTCGCAGTGGTTGGCTTCTGATAGCAGAGGTAAAAAGTAGGTTTGATCCAATTACTGGAGGGGCAGACCCAAATAAGTTTGTGAAAGCCATTTCCGAGTTGGGGTTTACATCTGTGCTGAAGGTTTGTCATCAACATTGAAGCTATCCACCTCTTTTAGTTAACCTTTCTAAATACCGAGCTGCTAACTCCTGATTTGGTTTACACAGGATTTCTCAAACAAAATGTTCATTTTGTTCCATTTCCAGAAGAAGGTTGGTTCCCAGTTTTCACCTTCTGACCAACATGACATTCAATATAACTTGTTAGATATTGATTGTTTGTGTGTTCAAATCTTTGTAGGAGAAACGGGAAAGCTCGAAGAGTAAAGCAATTGAGTGGCCGGAGTTGAAGCCTTGCTTATACAAGCGTCGGTGATATCGCAAAGTCCAAAGCCTACTTACTGTTTAGGTTCATAGGAGTTGTGGTTTGATTTGACACTATCCTTATACAGCTTCTGAATCTCTTATATGTAGCAAGTATCTCCCTTTATCAGCTTGCTTGATGAAATGCCTTGGTATTAGCATAAAACTGAGGCTTGACGAGTTTAAGGAATGAGAAAATGCCTACTGTTTTGTCTTTGTATTCAGAGTTCGGAGTTCGGACATAGGTGGATCCAAGCTCACTCACATTGTATCTCTTTTTGTAAGCGTGCTTAATGGAAGTGCCTCGGTTTTGGTCTTGTCCCACTGAATAAAGCTTGTGATCTTCCATTAATGAACCCAATTTCGGTTCCATGTTTTTGTTTCTTCGAGGAATTGGCTTCTGAGAACTCTCCATCCTTATCATATATAGCCGTATTGGTTAGATAATTCTGCTTAGTTATGTAGTACGAGTAGTATTGTATTATACTACGAGTACTAGTATGTAATTAGGTAAAGTTATAGTAGCATTTTCGTGGGGCATGGTCTTCTTCAACATCGGCACGAAGTTTGGGATTAGTAGCAGTTATCGGTTTCTTAGTTATATTTTTTTTCCTTCCTCTTTTGTGTTAGTTTTTGTTTCGGTTTTCAAATTGTTGGTATGTAATTACCATCAATTTGGGGAGGGTATTAGAGTATGTGTAGTACGAGTAGTATTGTGTTATACTACGAGTACTAGCATGTAATTGGGTAGAGTTATATTCCTTATTAGAGTCGTAGAAGTTAGGTTATTTTCGTTGTGTTAGGGTTATTTTAGAAGTCAGTATTTGTACTCTATATAAACTCTATGTGGTATCAGTAATAATACACAACATTTTCCGTCGTATTCTGATTTCTCAACATCAATGACCTCAAAATGCAATGCATTATGCACCCATCGAGCTCCTTGGCTCTTTTTAACTATTATGACGGAGAAAGAAAAGTAGCAAAGAAGTAGACCTCGCAAATTACCATCCGATTTGTTGATCCGATCCGAAGTCGCTCAAAAAAATAGAAGTTTTTATCACTCAAAAATCCGAATGATCCGAACTCGATTAACCTGTGATTTTTTGGGTCGGATTGATGGGTCAGCCGATTGACCCGTTAAACCCATTCTATTTCATATGTCACTCAAAAAATGATAAAATCACTCATAAATTGTTGAGATGTTTAAAAAAATTCACAAGATTTTGAAAGACATGTTTGGAGTTTAATTAAGGATAATCAAATATCATTTGTTTCTTGTAATAGTATTACTCTTGTGATTATCTTTTGACAATTTATGCAATTTGTATTTCATTTCATTAGCATGGGAAATTGAGAATATGTTAATGAACATGTTCTAGGTAAACTATTGCAATGCACATGTTTTTTACGATTTGATATTGTTTCTGAAAGCGCACATAATTCCGACTTGAAACCCGATGAATTGGGTCAATATTTGACCTGAAAGCAACCAACCCAATATTACCCGAGCCGTAACCGAATCCCAACCCCGAAATTAACCAACCCAACCTAATTCCACGTCTACAAACAAGGCAAAATATTTAATGCCGGAAACCCTAAAAGAATATTCTTTCGATTTAGATGGAAAAAGAAAAACAAAAAGAGAGGAACTGAAGAGAAGACGGGGCGCGGGGAAAGAACGTAAGAGACGAAGTTGACTCTGACTGAGCTGGGTACTAGGGTTCTATAAGAGGGACAAGGCCGCCGCCGTCGCTGACGGTCTTTCATCACCGTCACCGAGAGAAAGATGGCCGAGCAGGCGATTCTCAGCTACTTGGAGACCCACGAGGAAATAGCCGATTCTGGCAACTTCGCTGCAGAATGTGGGATCGACCACGCCGAGATTGTTAACGCCATCAAGAGTCTTCACGGTTTTCTCTACGTCGAGTCTCAGGTACTTCTCACTAGTCTGTACTTCCTTAAACGAAAATGGAGTATTGCGCCAATTGTTGGTCCGCTTGTGATAGAATTGGGGTTTAGAGGTTTCTCTTCTGGGGACATGTATGGAACATTGTCGGAGTAGTAGAATTACCTTTCTTACACCACAGTTTTAAGCAATCAGGTCCCCAATCGTAGACCAGGTAGTAATTCCGGCAGAGGGCTGTCTTTTGACTGGTGTGCGTCTTCCAAGAATGCATGTTCTGAGTCGCCATTGTTGATTTGGTTAAGATAAGAGCTTGTCTGACGTTGTTGAGACTGGAGACTAAAGATTGTTCTTTTCAACTCGCAGGACATTAAAAAGGAAACCTGGGTTCTTACTGATGAAGGAAAAAGATATGCTGCTGAAGGCTCACCTGAAGCTCAACTGTTCTTGGCTGTACCAGCGGAAGGCAGCATCGCTAAAGATGAGCTGCAGGTTGCTGTTAACTCATTGTTTTTATTTTATGGTCCCTAAGTATGCATATTCAATGCTACTGTGTTTATGAATCTTGAAGTCTAACCTTTTGTAAGCGATATAATTGTGCATTGCTCAACTCAAAAACGAAGAATTTCAACGTTTAAATAATAATTGAAATATGGTTTTGAAGTAATTGTTAAGACTTGCTGACTTGTTCTGGAACCATTTCTCATGCAGAAAAAGTTTGACCCTGCAATTTTCAAAATCGGCTGTTCTCAAGCTGGGAAGAACAAATGGGTGGAAATGGGGAGGCAGGTCTCGAGGAAGGTAACTGAAACTTCTTCACGCTTTTTTCTTTCTTTCGAAGAACCTTCCACTTGTTAGTAAGATGGGGGAACACCAGGAGTACTTTTCAGAACAGAATCACCTACTCAAAACTAAGAGGAGATTGTCTTGGAATTAAAGTTAAAGTCTTTCTGTAAGTATTTTGAACCTTGGACATTTCCCTTGATTAATATTTGTTTGCTTCTTTTGCTTCGCGGTAGGTAGTTCAAGTGGAGGACAAGGTGAAAGATTTACTTTTGAAGATACAGAAGGGACAGGTTTGCAGTTTTATTACCTGCAGTGCCGATAAATGTTTGAATTTCTTGGCCTCAATATTTGGCATTTCGATTCTATATTTCCTGGAAGCTCTTTTTTATTATGATAGGTTCGGTTGATATTAGCCATTAGAATTTTGTTCGTTTTTTTGTCCTAATTATAATATGGTACCCACAATACAATTCTATTGTTGTGAGTCATATTTATCCTTGCTCTGTTTAGCTTGATTTGTGATCAATTAGAATCCTTATTAAATGCATGTCAATGTTTTATGTAGAAATGAAATCAGTAAGACGCAGATGTACTTATATTAGGGGTTGGTTTTCTCATATTGCCTTCGGTGATCCTTGTTCTAGTCACGATCATTCTAAGGAATGAACTGTTTTTTATGGGACTTGGTTAGTACTCATCAGTTCTATTCCTGGCATCTTCGGTGGTTTTTGCTCATTTAATTTAGAGGACTTTCAAATTGGTTTGTTATTGTCTATCTATTCTCGTCTCTGGTGCTTAAACATTTACCTTTTTTGACTCTTACTATTCAGGTCATTGGTCAAGCTGATATTAACTCCCTCAAAGCAAGGAAGCTAATTGTTTTGCAGTATGGTTCTCATCTTGTTCTTTAGTTCAATATCCCTGGGGCTCCTTATGTTTTGCTGTACACATTTAAGTGCCTCGTGATTAGTTATAACTTAAAAATGAGTTTTCTGGTCTAGGACGTGGAAGGGATATTCTGTAAGAAAGGGACCTAGTTATGCTCCCCAAAGAGAGAAGTTTGCGACTGATTTGACCCGAGAAAACCTGCAGAGGTATGCAAATACTTATTTTCACTGCACATAGTGTTCTTATAACTTCTTAGTCTGTTATGTCCATGTAGCATCAGCTAGTAATTTTTCATCCCTGTAGCATTAATAGCTTTTCTTCTGGTTAGTTGCTTATGCATTGAAGCTTAGTCATTCAGTGCAATATCATTCAGCTGTTTGTTGATAATGGTTTGTGTGACATACTTAATTAACAAACTACTCTAAATATGTAGTGGCGACTGGAAGAAGCTGAAATTCAAAGAGTATAACTTCAATGCTAAAGGTCCACCTTCTGAATGTGGTCATCTTCACCCACTCAATAAGGCAAGATGGTTCTAGCTTTGGTTGCATTTTTCGACTCCTATTTTTATTGTGGCTGTCTAAAAACCCATTTCATGCTTGCCTTTATTGATTGTTTTAGTTGGAACTTGGAAGCAGGCATATAATCACTCGAGATAAGACATATTTAGATGTAGAAACCAATTCATATTTCTGAAAACCATTTCTAAGTTACTGGTGGGGAACTAAGAATCCCATAACTAGTAAGTACCAGACGATTGCATATGCTGTATATCTTGATAAGGATATGTGTATGTTGTCAAATTTTTATTATTGCCTTCTTGCCTTCCTAAGCCGCAATCCATCGCTGTCTGCTTTCTTCTGTGTTATCGAAATTCACTTCTGAAGTTCCTTCCATTTTCAGATGAAAGACTGTATAAAGAGAATCTTCCGTATGATGGGGTGAGTATTGTCTTTATGGAGTTATTGCTTTTCTACCTAATCCTGGGCATCTCTCATGTTAACTGCTCTTCTCTTGGTTGCAGCTTTGAGGAAATGCCCACAAATAGATATGTTGAAAGCAGGTCTCTGCCTTTTCCATCCCTCTAAGTAACTCTTTAAATTACCACTTGCTTTATTAGTTTCTGTTTATGCTTTGACATTTGAGTTTAGCTTGATAAACTCTGCCGGGGTGGCTCGTAAGACTGGAGATTCTTGTAACCTTTTATTGAACTTTTCAGTAAAAAACAGTTCAAGGAAGCAATCTTAGAGTCTTCATGTTATTTTCTACAACTGACATGTTTCCTTTTGAATTTACAGCTTCTGGAACTTTGATGCTCTGTTCCAGCCACAGCAACATCCTGCCCGGGATTCACATGATACATTTTTCTTGAAAAGTACGTTTGTATAACTATCTACAGTTTGATTTTGGTTCACACCCTTGTGGTAGTGTGATCTGATGTATTCTTGTGCAGCTCCTTCAACAACAATGCAGCTCCCTGAAGATTATGTTGAGCGAGTGAAGCAAGTTCATGAGTCTGGTGGTTATGGATCACGAGGGTATATAGATCTCATCTGCATCCCTTTACCTTGATGATCCAAGCAAATGTTTCCTCTCTCAACTTTCTTGTCTGCTGGCAGATATAACTATGAGTGGAAAAGAGAAGAAGCAAACAAGAATCTTTTGCGTACACATACGACAGCGATCTCTTCGAGGATGCTTTATAAGCTAGCACAGGTATATTGATCGTGATTTCTGTACGTTTTATCCTTTCCCTGTCCCCAGGTCCCTTTTCCTAGTATTTATATCCCTCTTCTACGATGTATTTTATGGGTTTTTTTTTATAGAAGTACCATTCTCTTAATTGCAGGACACAAAACAGAATGGTTTCACCCCTAAAAAGTACTTCTCCATTGACCGTGTTTTCAGAAATGAAGCAGTAGACCGTACACATCTTGCAGAGTTCCACCAGATAGAAGGTATGGTCCCCTCTATTTTTGTCAATTCATTTTTCTGTCATCCCCTGTTTTACGAAACGATTGGATCAATTCTGTTCTCGCATGAATCCTCTATTTTCTGACTTGTAGCCTTCTGTCTTGCCTAAAAAAAATAAATGCTATTTCTTGCATTTCTTTTTTGTCAATTCATGGCCCCAAAATAATAAGAAAAATCCTCTAATAACTAATGATTTCATGGCTATTCTCTCCCTCTTAAACAAGTTTTCTGCATGACTGGGTTTACTTCTGTTACAAAGTACTACACATTAAGCTTTACAATGATTGTAAAGTTTCTATCTTCAATCAGAACTTGCCGCTGAGGCATTTTACTTTCCTGGGCCAATGATTCTTGTTTTCAGGTCTCATCTGTGACAGAGGGCTCACACTGGGTCACTTGATAGGAGTCCTGGAAGACTTCTTCAAGCGTCTAGGTAATCATCAATGACTTGAGAAGCAATGAGGACTTGGGTTGGATATCAAATTGGTGCCTTACTGGCTTCTTACTATCTTTTTGTCCAGGAATGTCAAACTTGCGCTTCAAGCCTGCCTACAATCCATACACTGAGCCTAGCATGGAAATATTCAGGTAACTAATGATGCTGTTTTTTATGCTTGGTTGGTGGTACTTTCATGCAGAGCACATAAGAGGTCTAATTTAATTATACACATATGTTCAGTTATCATGAAGGATTTGGGAAATGGGTGGAGATTGGGAACTCTGGAATGTTCAGACCGGAGATGCTTCAGCCAATGGGTTTCCCTGAAGATGTCAGGGTCATTGCATGGGGGCTTTCTCTTGAAAGGTAAGCAAGTTGGCATCTCGTCTCGGTCTGGTAATTTGGTTCTACCACCATCTACACAGAACCTTCATTTTCTTCCAACTTAACTAATCAATTATTCTTCTATTTTGCTTCTTTGTTTCGACATAGACCTACGATGATACTGTATGGCATCGATAACATCCGAGATCTCTTCGGGCACAGAGTAATCTAACTCTCAACCCATACTAAGAAAGCATATCATTTTATTCACGGTCTTTAGTGGTGCAATAGTTGCTGACTAAGGCGTGTTTTGGATGTTGATTTGCAGGTGGATCTTGACCTCATCAAGAAGAGTCCTTTGTGCCTCATTGGCATTAAATAATAGACTTCAGCGTATTTTCCTTCAGTTTTCTGTTCATCATTATATACAAAGCTCATTCTTAGCTGCGATTTGATGCTCGACAAAGATTCTTGTAGCTTGTTCTTGGTTTCAAAAGTTTTCAGCGTGGTTTAGTAGGTCAACTTGGTCTCGTAGTTGTTCTTGGCTGTCGATACAGGGATGGTGTTAACTGGTGCTGTACACAACTTGGTCTCGTAGTTGTTCGCCTTCTTGGACGTTATGAGCCTCTTAGTAGGTCACTATTAGTATGTTGAGACTTGAGAGTGTTTATAACAGTAGTTCCTAATTCGTCATATCCTATACGGCCTCAACATCCGGATAGGCTCCTAACATCTCCTTGCATTCAATGCATCTCACGGTCGTTGGATTGAGCGTTCGGCGATAGTCATTTGGTGTACAAACAGTTATCGTAGTAATGCGAAATGCATGCATGATCCCACAATTGCATATGACGTTGGAATGTTCAAATGTCTAAGCACAGTAGCAGTATTCAATTACGAGGAGTATGGTTGAAGAATGGTATTGTTGGCTTGTTTGTTAAAATGTGGATTGAAAGGAAAGGAAAGGTGCAAAAAGAGGAGGAAAGGGCTACTGATTTCTAGGCATTGGAAGATCATCACCTCCCATGGCATCCCAACCAACAAAACTAACTATAGCCACTCCCTAGTAGTGTAAATGCAACGCCGCCGCAACTCTTCTTTCCCGGCGAAAAAGAAAGTTGCACCAACCTTAAAAAAGGTTTTAAAAATAGACAATGAGTATAAGAGAAAAAGGAAAAAAAGAGTTGCAGGAAATGTTTTGTTTATTGCCAGTTGTGGGTTCGTTGGTTCTCTGTAAAATATATTTATTAGGGTTAGCTCGTCTTTGGATGCCGAGAGGGTAAGTCATAGTAGTCTTTGGGAGCAAGTTGCAATTTGGAAAATGGGTATTGGCATGAGAGGCCATGTTACCTAAGACAGAGCCTCCGCACATTCTCCTGCATGTTGCATGGGCCACTTTCCCCAAACATATAACTGCCATCCTCATCTAGCTAGCAACTATAGAAGAAACACAAAGAGAGAGAGAGAGAGAGAGAGAGAGTTCCTTTGGATGGTTTCTAATCTAGACACTCTACTTAACTCAATTTAGTCTAATCATGACAAGAATACACCATTTCCATTTCGTAAGGTGCGGGTACGGAAAATACGAGAGGAAAGTTAGATACAAATGAGTTTTTAGTTGTATAGGCCTTGTTTATAGGTTCTAAATTATCTTCACGTTAGATTAAGTATTTGATTAATTTCATGAACTATGTTTATACGAAAAAAATTTGTTTGATATTCATTATCCATTGAATTTATATATTAGTTTCGGGTTCGAGTTTTGTATAAAAATGTAACCTTATTGATTATCCACGAGTACGGTAAGTATATGTAATGGAGAGCATAAATTCAAGTCACGCAAGGATGGGGAGGATATGGGTTATTGATATCTACTCCACTTTCATCCCCAATTGCACTATTGCAAGTATGATCAAAGGAAAACAGTGTAGTAACTAGTCTGGAAATCCATTGATTTGTTGTTGCTATGTTGCCTAATTAGGGACCATATCATACACACAAGCATTCTGGCATCCAATCAATCTCAATACCATTTTAATTAATGAATTTAGGTACATGTGAAAAATTTCCCACTGTTACAAATTCATGAATATGATCAGAAAGTTAAACCCAATTCATAGTCAAATTGATGAATCCAATGTAATCAAACTCTACTAGATGAGAAATCAATACTCTAAGCAACTAAATGATAAATTTATGTTCTAACTACATATTCTATTAGATAAAGTAAGATAGCCTCAAATTTGTTTAATCTAAGTGAAATGGCATCATTGATACCCAACTCCCAAGTCCTCAACTTGAGGACCTCAAAGACTCAATTAAGAAGTGGGATTATATAGTTAACTAGTTTGAGATATTTTTTGAAAGGATCTTTGTACTTGTTTAGGCTTATCTTTTTCATAGGGTTCTTAGCTTCTTAGCCCCACCTTATACCCTCTTCTCTGCCTAAAAATTCATTGGAAATATGTACTCCACACACCCTTCCCCATTACAGGACCCGCATGCCACAGTTGAAAATAATTCGAAAAATGACCCCAAATTGATATATATTGCATGCACATGGGATTTGTCAAAAACATAACAATACATGCACATGGGATGTATGAATTTGAAATGTTACCAAATCTCATCATCATCATGTCAAAACAACATATTAAACATTGATAATGAGATGGATGATTGAATCAACCTCAGCCCATTCAAGAAATGAAAGCAAATCTTATATCAATTAGGTTTGGATGTTAGAAGGTTTCTGACATAAACACTTGTTTATTTCTATCCGATCAGAAATTATATGGTTGTTATACATTTATGATGCGAACACACCATAATTATTTAGGTTTCCCCTCACATTCAAGTGTAAAAAAGTATCCATCCTGATATGACGATCTGATCGAGAATCTAACCATGGTTGTATGTTTAAAATGAAAACACACTTCAATCAATTGTTTTGTTCACGTCTAGTATACACCAATTGCCTGATTGCAAATCACATAACTAAAATGCATAAACACGATGCTGGCAACTATTCCATAAACATACTTACCTAAACAAGTGATGGGTTGAGACAAGAGAGAGAAGAGGGAATGCTTTTATCTTTTTTTCAATCTTTTGTATTTTGTTGGGTTGGGTTGGCTTGGCTTGGCTTCTATTTAAGGAAAGCTGAAGATGCATTGTTCAGGAATCAGTGGATGCATTCTCCCAAATCAGACAGTACAAAAGAGAGGAAAGAAAACACAAACCCACCAAACAGAAAGGAATTGATGAGAGCATAGAGAGGAGAGGGGAAGGAGAAGCACAAAAAAAGCTGACTTTAAAGCTTTAGAATAGGAAGTTTGCTTCTGAATGAAACAATGGATGCCCACAAAAGGTTAACATCACATCTTCAAGCAACCAAACCAAATGCCTTCCCATGTACCCTGTTCCCATTCATATAAGGAAAGAATTCCTAGCAAATACAGCAAAAGGGAAGAAAGAGGGGTGAAAGAGAGTCTCCTAATCTCTCTCTCTTGTTCCTGTTTCTGGTAGAGCAGAGGAAACCCCAGAAAAATGGAGGCATTCATGTTGCAGAACCTCTTCAATGGAGGCAGAGAAGCCCAAATCCAAGCTGCCTCCGAGATGGTCAAACTCAGCAGCAAACTGAGGCAGAAGTTAGTGGAAGGTGGAGTCATTCTCCCTTTGATCACCATGCTTCAGTCTCAGGACTATGAATCCATCCAAGCTTCACTCTTTGCATTGCTCACCCTTGCCTTTGGCAGTGAAAGGTAATACCCCTCACCCACACCACACCACACCATACCATTTCTGCCCATTTCCATTTCCATTAACCAAAAACAATCACTTAACTCAACTGATTACCAATTGGGTTGCAGGAACAAGAGAAGGATGGTGAAATCAGGCGTGGTAGATGTGCTAATCCACCTCCTCCAATGGCAGGAAGAGTCATTGACAGAGCTGACAGTAGCAGCCCTGCTCATCCTCTCCTCATGCGGGCCAAACAAGCCACTCATCGCATCATCAGGAGCCATCCAAATCCTAGTCGATTCAATCCCCATTCTCACCACCACCCAATCAAAGCTCGACACTTTGACCACACTCCACAATCTCTCCACCTGCAATCAGGCAATCCCACACCTCGTCTCATCAGGGCTAGTCCCCACATTGCTCCAACTCCTAACCCAACATTCATCCTACCCAATTCAACCAGAGCTGGCGGACAAGGCAATGGCCCTGCTGGAAGCCGTCGCGATCTCGTCGGAGAGAGCACTGGCCCAGGCCGCGGGAGGGATACGGGTGCTGGTGGAGATGGTGGAGGAAGGCAGCCCACAGGGGAAAGAACATGCTGTTGGGGTTCTGGTCCTGATATGCCAGAGCTCGAGGGAGAAGTACAGAGGGTTGATTCTGATGGAAGGCGCCATGCCCGGTTTGCTGCAGCTGAGCATTGATGGGAGCTGGAGGGCGAGGGGTTTGGCTCAGGAGCTGCTGATGATGCTTCGAGGGGATTGCGATGGTGGGTCGAGAGGGAAGCAGTGGAAGCAGGAGATGGTGGAGAGGGTGATGCAGGAGATCGATGCTGCGGAAGGGGAGGAGGAGGAAGTATTCATGGGGAGTGGTGGAAGTAGTACGCTGAGATTGGTGGAAGAGATGATTGCGAAGCTGAGTACCTGATTTTGGTTTAGATTTTGGGATTAGGGTTCTTACTTCTTAGGGAATTGGGGTTCCAGCTTTTGTACATAAAAAAAAACAGAGATTGATTCGATTGGGTCTTTTAGGAGCGGAGAAGAGATGATTGCTAAATGCTAACCAGAGAGCTAGATAATGTACTCTTCCCAGGCCCGAGAAAATATCAATGGATACCTTCATTTCACTAGACTTTATCATAATGCACTTTTTTGTAGTTTGTTAGCAGTTTTGAACGTTTAGTCTCACTCACCTTTTGATTTTTTTTATCGCATCGAATTAAAAATCAACTTTATTATTAAAAAATGTATATCAAACATCAAACAATCATTTCTCATAATACTTCTTTTATCGCAGTTCATTCATAATCTTCTGCTAATCTCACACCGACTTATCGTAATGTCTAAAACGCAATACTAAACTGATATTCGTCCACTAAAATGAGGTTGTTAAGCAAGTTAGAAATGGACCAACATACCTAAAGCAATACATAGTAGCACTACAACAACAACATGAATTTGATATTAAATAAAACACCATGAAATAAGGAACCAGTAAAACATCAACAAATGACTGTAGGAAGAGAGAAAGCCATTATACCTTTAACCTTTTTAACCGGTTGATTTTTTTTTTGTCATTAACTTGTTTGAAATTACTAGCACAGGGCCCGCCCCGTTGGGCGGGTAACCTACTTATCATATTATTTGATAAAGGTTAAAATATAAACCCAATTGAAAATAATTCATTTGTTTTTGTAATTTTTGTAATAAAATGGTGTTTGAACAAAATTTTAGAAAAAAAAAATGCTATATGAGATGAACTTTTATAATAACTTAATAAGCAATATCATCTCTAAGGGTTTGAAAATTGTTATATGATATGAACGGTAAAAAAGTAATGGGAAATAAATACTCGGGCCACCAATTCAATAGTCTGATTGAGTTTCATTCCACCGAAGAATGAGTAAATACTTCAGCCACCAGATTGAATGACCGGATTAGTGGAACCAAAG